ATTATTTATAATTATTTTGACCCATTCTACCCGTACAAGGCGGTTGCTCGATCAGTTACCGGATACCCTGTATATTTATATATAATTATGTATATGTTGGGGAATTATACAGTGCGTGGCAAAAATTCTGGAACGGTAAATTATTTCAGAAAATATTAGTTTATTTAAGAAATGTTCAAGACAAAAATGTTAGGAGTTTAAAGAGTTTATCAGATGTGTTTTGATATTTATGTGATCTTGAAGAGACCTTGTCAAAGTTAACATAAAAATTTGTAATTGTACACCTTATTCTTCATAATGTAGCTGACGTTATGACATATCCGAAACACTAGTTGCAACTTTTTCTCCACAAGAACTTTCCAAGTTATGGAACTTGAAATTTACACTTACCGCTGGCATTAACATTACCCAAGGTGTACTAAGTGGAATTTGCACGGTCGGAAACATACGCATGCACGCATGCACGTACATGCATACGAAAAGGTGTAAATTCGACCGTGCAATTTCCGCGTGGTACACCGTAAATAATGCTAATGCCGGCGTGTTAAGTGTAACTTTCAAGTTTTAAAACTCAGAAAATTCTGGTAAAAAATTTGCAATTAGTGTTTCGGCAATGTCTTAATGTGAGCTACAAAGATATGCTATGAAAAATAGCATTCCTGCAATGCGTAATATAATGTCAGCGGAACGGATACATAATCAGAATATAAATATTGTTCTAATATCCAGTTGTAAGATGATTTAGGAAAGTCCAATTTCATTAAGCGATCACTTGGAATTGTTACGAGTACATAGTTATGAATAAATGTAATAATGTTATAATAAGGTTTTACACTAGGAAAGTTGGCGAACTTTGTAAATTCTCGATGTAAAAAGTTTTCCACTTCGTTAATATAAGCGATATTCATGTTCAGTAACAACAACAGCTTATTGCAGTAATGTTCTAAACTATAAAGTATTTGATGATCATCACAAAAATTGGCTGAATAGCAAATTATGCAGGGCTTGATGTTTACTTGTTGGTAACACACGTAACACGATTTCGCGCATATGAAAATCTCTGTTTCATACCGGTATGTGCAGCGTGATAGAGAAGCCAGTATTTTTCATAAAATTTCTTTCCGTGATTCTATCCATTCTTTCGAGTTACGATATATGACCCAAAATAATCTGTCTGTTATTGCAACTGCTATAGCTTTGCAGATCTCCGAGTGTGAATATTTATGTATCTCCTGATGCTCCTTGGAACAATAAAAAATCATATGGCATTGATTACACGTTATCGAAAAACGTTACACGAAAAACTGTATATATTTGTCTTCTGTGTATGGTCCATCAAACATTTTTAGTGTCTAATAAATACATCGCAATACGTTTTAGTAATTATCTTTTATGTGTATTTTGTTTGTAATATTTACTTCAAGATAATGCGCGAAACTCGACAATGCACAAAGTGTAACAGAAATGTTTTTATTCGGATTATATACAGATATTTAACCAGTAATAGTACACGGAACACTATTAACGGACACAAACATGTTTGTATCGAAAATGTTAACAAAATAAATTGTGGCTACCGATATGACAAACTAGAAATATTCATTTGTGTTGGGGAATAATATGATTCATTCGTTATGGAAATCTATTTTGAAAGACTGAAAATATACTACAAAAGTAACCATGAAAAATACTTTAGTATATTTGTTGTAATTTCGAACAAAGTTTTAAGTTTTTTGGTAATGTATTATAAAGGTCACTTTAACTTTTAACTAATCCGTTAAAGAAATCTTTTTTGGTTGGAATCAATCAACTATCCATGTTCTGACAACGCTGAACTTTCCCTGATATTGACAATCGAGCGAAACGCGGTGATATTAATGGCTCTAATGATGTTCTTAAAACTTACATAATGTATCTTTATAGTATTCACGGGATATTATAACATATTTATTGGCTAACATCGAGTTGACGAAACAACATTAGATAGGAAAGACCGGGGTAGGTTCGCTAATTTTTTCGAATTTCAATGATAAAACAGTTTGATATATTTAATTGTTCCAATTGGCTATATAATAATAATATAATAATGACGAGACAACCTTCTTCTACATTTTGATCCTGTCGACGATGCTATAAACTGTATAGTTTCGTCTGTAATAATAAAAATATCATCACATAGTAAGCAGACATACCTGCCTTGGTACCGGGGCAGGTACGCTAGCAGCTCAGGGTAGGTCAGCATTACATAAAATACATGTAATTATACACTTTGAAGAATGTTAAATCAATAAATTATACAATGAGATACCATATACGATACCTTTGTGCTTACAATTTTATTTATACTTAAAAACAAAAGGAAATAATTTTACATAACATACTTTATATGTGTATACATCATCATATGTTCGCGTTGCATTGTATCCTATGATCCTATGATCACTATGCATTGTGAGCTATGTGTTTACTAACCTATTCTTTACGCGTAGCTACACCAGTGCTACCATACAGAAAAATTAGCGAATCTACCCCATCTGCTCATTTCTGCGATTTTAATAATTTTAAGAACAAAGTTCACTGTTATTATACAAAACAGTGTATATCATATATTCTTTAACAAACTTTATTTTAACTATATTATTTTAACTTCATTTTAACTTATATTACATAACTTCAGTTTATTCATTCACGATAGAAAATGCAAGGAGAATATTTCGAGACGTCTAAAACTTTATTCAACTGACCTCAAATCAGTTTTTTTTTCTTTTACCTGTAATATTTGCGCGATTGTGATGAAAATTGAAGATAAGTAACACTAAACGAAATGTTTTATAATTCCACTCGAACTGTTTGTTTCACAATAAGTTCGTGAACGAAATGATTTACGAACCTACCTCTACTGCAAACCTGCCCCGGTCTCCCCTATGCTACAAATATTGATATAATAAATATTAGTGTGCTAGTGATTACATCACTGTTTTCAGATTTTCAACGAAATATTATTATGATTAATCTAAACAGAAAATGTTTCAAAATGGTTTGATCAATTTACTCAATCATCAAAAATTCAAAAACCAATTGAAAAATTTTGTTTTGAATAATAACGCTTTATTACCAAACAAAATTTTTTCAACGAAATAACAAAATATTTATTTATAGAAATAATAATTTAATTTAATAAAACACACACAAACCAAAATAAATTAAAGAGAATGAATTGCTATATAGTGGTATATAATTATATATGAATTATATATATTTAGATATAATTATATATATGTTGGGGAATTATATATTGCGTGGAAAAAGTTTCAGAACAGCAAATTATTTCAGAAAATATTAGTTTATTTAAGAAATGTTCACAAAAGTGTTAGGGATTTAAAAGAGTTTATATTTATTTTGATATTTATTTGATCTTGAAGTGACTTTGAGAAGTGTTGTAAAGGTTAACATAAAAATTTTTAATTGAACACCTTATTTTTCATAGTATACCTTTCTAGCTGACGTTATGACATATCCGAAACACTGATTGTAACTTTTTCTCCACAAGAACTTTTTAAGTTATAGAACTTGAAATTTACACTTACCGCTAGCATTAACATTACCCAAGGTGTACCACGTAGAAATTGCACGGTCAGATACACACGCATACTTGTACATGCATACGCATACACACACACACACACACACGAAGAGGTGTAAATTCGACCGTGCAACCTCCGAGTGATACATCTTAAGTAATGCTAATGTCGACGGTAAGTGTAACTTTCAAGTTTCATAACACGAAAAGTTCTGATGGAAAAAAATTTTTAATTAGTGTTTCGGAAATTACGTGAGCTATAAAAATATGTTATAAAAAATAGGAGGTTTCACTTTAAATTAAAAAATTTGTATGTTATTTATAATTATATATAATTATATATAAAAAGTTTTTATATAACAAGCAGTTACGTAATTAAAGTCTTAAGTACTGTCTTGTCGCAATTAAATTATACATTATTTTTTAAGTTTCTTAAACGTCGTAGTAAATAAATAACCGTGTTTAGTAAATTTAAATAAACTTAAAGTTTGTGTATAATTGTTAGCATATGATATTTCATAATAATTAAATTACTTTAAATATTTATTTGTTATTTTTAATATTAATTTAACTATTTATTTAAATTGTTATTTTAAAACATTTATTTTAAATATTTATTAAATTACTTTAAATTATTTTAAATAACTTCAAAAATTGTAAACAGCTTTTTATAAAAGAAGCGTGCGTTGATCTTTCAGATCCCCCAGATTATTCAAATACAGAAATCAGGTAGTTTAGATTAAAGATTGTACCAATATTTTGCCTTGGAGAACTTTAATGATATATTAAAAGCGAACGTCGTAACACGAATGATCCTATCATTCAGTAATCATCCATTCCTTTTACTGAATCTTCTAAGTTATTTAACTTAAAAGATCATATACAAATTAGTGATGCTGTTTTATGCTATACTTACGGTTAATCGTGGAAAATAATGCAACAGGAGATATATAACAAATAATATTATACAAGTATAAATACATTTTGTTTAAATATATTATAAAAAATTTTTATCCAGATACATTTTAGAACATAGCCATTACAATAAAAGAACTTCTCTTTAAGTAATTACATAAAGTTAAGTTCTATCATTTATTACATTATAAGCTATATATTATATACAGGAATGCATCAGAAAAATGCTCAAAACGTATTGAAACAAAGTTTATATTTGCTACATTTTTACAAAAACAAGAGAGAGGAACATATTATATATATTAAATAATAAATGTAATAATAAATATACTATTAAGAAATCTACATTTCATTAAAGACTATGATTACACTTGTACTTAATTTACAATAACAGGTGACAAGGTTGACAATTTAAAATGTAAAAGTCGTAAAAGATGCAACAAGTTATAAATATTGATTACAAAATACAGTATAAAAATATAATTTATATAAAATGTTTACAATTATTCCTATTACTTATCATCTGCAGAACACGGACGACAAAGGAAAAATTTACAAGATAATTATATATTATTTAATACAGAATGATCATAGCTGCATATAATACATATAAGTACGGAGTAGTATGCGATAAATTGTAAAATTTTAAGACATTATGTATGCGGTAATTCTATATTATCTCATATATAATATGCTTTACGTATTCTCAAAAGATAGCAAACAAAATACTATTAATTTATGTCTCAATATATGCATCTAGTAAGAAATTTATTATTTATTCCCCTATTTTATTAACATATGAGTATCATTAATTATACTAAAATGAATTTAGATCAAACAACACCTTACTTTTAGACTTGGATTAAGTGGTCAAGTGATTTAAATTCATGAATACATTATAAAATGCGCATTTCGGTAATAAAATCCTCCAGTTATATAGTCTCTATATGGTGTACAACCGCAGAATTTATTTTTTCTGTACAATCGTGTTCTGCTTGTATCTGTTTCTTCTTGTATTCTATCTACATTCTCTTCTGCTGTACTTTTCGAATCTGTGGTTAAAAGTAACGGACAATTTTGCGCTACTACTGCTTTTATAGATTTGAACCATGTTCTTACCCAAATAGTTTCTGTTTCAAGTAGTACAATCACATTTGGTTGCTCAAATGACTCTAAGCGTACATAATCGTGGTACGGTTCTGACACATATTTAACATAAAGTTTTCGTTTATTATAACAGCACATAGCACACATATTCTCTAGATCTTTGGATTCAAATTTTGGTGATTTTATAAATACAATATATAGTTCCTTCATGTTTATAAAGATATGTAAGAAAATATGCCACATTCCTGAAGACATAACATCAATTCTATCTGCATCTATAAGATGAACGATATATTTATGCGTAGTGGTTGGGAGACATAATAAATTTGATTCTTGTAACGCGTAGTATAATGTCATCGGACCTGATACAAAATCAGAACATATATAATTTTCGAATGTCCAATAGCGAGTTGAATTAAAATTTAAGAACATACCAAACATATATCGAACCTGTGAATATATGCATGCATAGTTATTAATAAATGTAATAATGTCACCATAAGGTTTCACACCAGGAAATTTGGTGAACTTTCGTCCATGCACTTTCTTTCCCATCGTTTCTAAATCATTAGTATAGGTGATATTCATGTTCAGTAATAGCAACAGCTTGGCGCAGCAATCCGTATGTGTTAGATTAAAAAATTTTTCATGATCATCACAAAAATTGGCTGAATAGCAAATTTTACAGGGCTTGATGTTCAATTGTTGATAACAAACAGAACACGATTTTGCGCACATTACCATCTCTGTTTCATATCCGTATGTAGGGCGTGATAGAATATTCAGTATTTTTAGCACAATTTCTCTTCGTGATTCTATCCATTCTTCCGAGTTACGGTATGTGACCCAAAACGGTGTGTCCGTTATTACAATTGCTATAGCATTGCACATATCCAAGTGTGAAAATTTATGTTCCTCCTGGTGCTCCTTGGAACAGTAAGAAATCATATTACACTTATTACATGTTATTAAGTTTTCGCTGGGCCGTTTGCAAACATGACAAATGTTTGGATTGAAAAACTGATTATATTTGTCTTTTGTATATGGCTCATCAAAAGGTAATAACTTGTCTAAAAGCATCGCAATACTTCTTAATTATAATTTATAAATATCTTGCTTGTAATATTTACTTCAAAATAATGCGCGAAACTCGATAACTTACAGAATATAACAGAAGTATTTATACGAACTATATATAGATGTTTAACCAATAATAGTACACGGGACAATAATAAAAGGTTGTTGACAAAATAAATTGTAACTACCAATATGAGGAACTAGAAATATTTATTAGTGTAGGGACGACAATATGGTACATTCCTTCTGAAAATCTACTTTAAGACTGAAAATATACTACAAAGTTTATCAAGGAAGATGCTTTAGTAAATTTGTGCTAAGTTCGAAAAAACTTTAAGCATTTTGGTAATGTACTACAAAGATTACTCTAAATGAACTATTCCGTTAAGAGGACATTTTTTATCAGTAGTGATCAGTTTTCCATGTTCGGACAACAGTAAGTGTTATTTAACTTTGATGGACGAGCGGCACACGGTGATCTTAACGATTATAACGATGTTTTTAGGACTTATATAATGTATCGTTATAATATTTACAGAACATTATATTTACTCCCAAACATTGAAATAACGAATCAACATTAAATTTGCGACAAATATTGATGTAATGTGTATTATTATGTTAGTGATTACATAACAGCTTTGAGATTTGGAACAAGATATTATAATTAATCTAAACAGAAAATGTTCTAAGACTTAAATTTCCTCAAAAACCAAAAATTCAAGAAACAATTGAGAAATCTTGTTTAAAATAATAATGCGTCATTATCAACTAACATGAATTTTCTTCAACGATGTAACAGAGCTTTTAAATGATAAGTTCTATATAAATATATTATTTTGTAAGAAAGATACACACAAGCTAAAGTCAATTAAAGTACATTAAATGCTATATAGTTATATATAAATTAAGTATTATTATATATAATAATATTTAATGAGGGATTATATACAGTTAAACATAAGCAGTATTAAACAGCATCATACAAAATTATATATAATATATTATATATATTTTGTTACATTATATATATATAATGTAACGAAATATACATAACTTTTAATACATCCATCTAATTTATTTAGCTACATATAATTGAAAATAAGAGAGTTTTTACATAACGGGCAGTTAAGTAATTAAAATTTCAAGTATTCTCATGTAAAAAGTAAGTTATGAAATATATTTGTATGTTACTTAAACGTTGTTTATAAGTAAATAACCAAACTGTTAATAACTTTCTGCAAATTTCTTTTTTTTTAAATAAGGGTACACTGATCTTTCAGATCCCTCCTATCCTTCATATAGAGAAGCCAAGTAGTTCATGTAAAGAACTGTACTGAAATTTTACATTGGAGACTTTAGCGATATGTTAAAAGCAAACATTGCACGTCGAAATATGAATAGTCCCATAATCCGGTAATTATTCAATCTTTTTATTAACTAAGGTCTACATTACTTAACTTAAACGAACATATATATAAATTAGTGCTACCAATTAGCTCTAACTAGTTGGCGGAAGTATTCAGAACAAATATTTCAAAATATATTTATAAGATATAAAATTTCTTTCCGTGAAATAAAGATTATTTCTATAAACGAATGTTTTACCATACACTTTATATCCCATAAATAAATATTAAAATATATTTTTCCTCAGTGTGCCTAGTTTTCTATATTTATAATCTTACAATGTGTCCAGAAACCAGTTTTATGCTATACTTACCGCTAATCGTGGAAAATAATGCTATATATAATGGATAATTTTATGCAATCATATATACACTTCGTTTAAGCACGGTATAAACAATTTTTACCCAGATACCTTTTAAAACATAGCCGATAGCCAACACAATGAAAGAATTTCATTTTCAGTGATTACATGAAATTAAGTTTTATTATTTATTAGATTATAGGATATATCCAGGAATGTACCAGAAAGTGCTCAGAACGTATTAAAGCAAAGTGTATATACCTATGCTACATCTTTACAAAAACAGGAGAGAGAAACGTAATATACATTTACTAACGAACGTATACTATTAAAAAATCTACATTTTATTGGCGATTATGATTATACTTGTATTCAAATAAAATGTTTTGTTTTTACAATAAAATGTATTTAAATAAAATGTATTGTTTTTACAATAAAATGTGAAAACTCGGAAGGCAAGATTACTTTTATATCTTTTAATATATTTTGATAATTTAAAATGTAAAAGTCGTAAAAGATGCAACGAATTATGTTTATTACAAGATACAACATAAAAATAAAACTTACAAAAAATGTTTTCCAATTATACCTATCACATATCATTTGCAGAATACGCGGACGATAAAGGAAAAATTTACAAGTTAATTATATATAATTCAGTACAGAATGATCGTAGCTATACATAATACCTATAATTATGGAATAGCATGTGACAAAGTATAAAATTTTAAGACATTATGTATGCGGCAACCATTCTATTATCTCTTATATAATAAGTTTTACGTATTCTGAAAAAATAAGAAATAAAATACTACTGATTTGTATCTGAATGCATCCCTTAGTAAGAAAATTATATTTATTCCAGAATTTTATTAAGAAATGAATGCCATCACATCTGTTTTGAAATAAAATTACGATAAAACAAGACATTATTTTCTGCCCTTGAATGGGTGGGTCATATGATTTAAATTCATTAATACATAATAAAATGCGTATTTTGGTAATAAAATCCTCCAGTTAAATAGTTTCTATATGGGGTACAAACGCCGAATTTATTTTTTCTATATATTCGATTTCTGGTTGCACTTTTTCTATCTTATCTACATTCTCTTGCGCTTTATTTTCAGAATGGGTGGTTCAAAGCAACGGACACAATTGCGATATTGTTGCTGTTATAGATTCAAACCATATTTCTACAAATAAAGCTTCTGTTTCAAGTAGTAAAATCACATTTGGTTGCTCATATAAATCTGAACGTACATAATTGTGGTATGGCTCTGATACATATTTAACATAAAGTTTCTGATTGTAGTTTTTGCACCTAGAACATACAGACCATAGATCTTTGTATTCGAATATTGGCGATTTGATAAATACAATATACAGCTCCTTTATTTTTTTTAAAATGTGTAAGAAAATATGCCAAATTTGCAAATACATTCCATCTATTCTAATCGCATGTATAACATGAACGATGTATTTACGTACAGTGCATTGAAGTGATAATAAGTATGATTCCTGTAATTCGTAGTATAATGTCATACATATTCAGAACATATATAATGTTCACATGTCCAGTATTGAGTTGAATAAGGAAAGTTTAATATTATACTTCGAATATGCGTATCTTTTGTGGGTATATAATAATTAAGAAATGTAATAATGTCATGATAAGGTTTCTCACCAGAAAATGAGATGAACTTTTGTCCGTATCGACACTTGACAGTCTCTTTCGTAAAGCCGCTAATATAGTCGATATTCATGTTCAGTACCAGTAACAACTCATCGCAGTATTTTTATGAAATAGATTAAATAATATTTGGTGATCATCACAAAAATTGGCTGAATAGCAAGTGTTGCAAAGTCTTATGTTTGCCTGTCGGAAACACACATAACACGATTTTGCACACATTATCATCTCCGTTTCGTACCGGTATGTGCAGCGTAATAGAGTAGTTAGTATTTTTTTCTAAAATTTCTTTCAGTGAATCTATCCATTCTCTCGGATTGCGGTATGTAACCCAAAACGATTTGTCCGTTATTGCAGTTGCTATAGCTTTGCAGATTTCCAAGTGTGAATATTTATATATCTGCTGGTGCTTCATGGAACAGTAAGAAATCATTTGGCACTGATTACAAGATATGAAGCTTCTGCTTGGCCGTTTACAAACATGAAAAACATTTGGATTGAAAAACTGATTATAATTGTCTTCTGTATATGGCTCCACAAAATCTACTAATTTCTTTAAATCTAACGCAATACGTCTTAGTAACTATCATTTACGAGTATACTGTTTCTAATATTTACTTCGAAATAATGCGCGAAGCTCGATAAGTTCCCAGAGTGTAACAGGAACCTTTATACGAAATATATATAGATGTATAACCAGTAATAATACACGTGACAATAATAACGGATACAAATATGTTTATATCGAAAATGTTGTTGACAAGATGAATTGTAACTAACAATATGAGGGCCTATGAATATTCATTAGTGTAAGGATGACAATATTCATTCCTTATGAAAATCTACTTTAAAAGACTGAAAATATATTACAAAATTTACGAAGAAAGATGCTTTAGTAAATTTGTGGTAATTTCTAGCAAAATTTCAAATATCTTGATAATGTACTATAGAGGTCATTTTAAGTAAACTAATCCGTCAAAGAAATGTTTTTGATCTGTAGTGATCAGCTGTCCATGTTATGACAACGGTATGTGTTCCTTAACTTTGAAGATCGAGAGACACACGGAGATCTTAACGGCTAAAACAATGTTATCAGGACTTATATAACGTATCGTTAAATATTCACGGAGCATTATATTATATTTACTCACAAACATTGAAATGATGGATCAACATTACGAATGCGACAAATATTAGTATAATGTGTATTAGTGTGCAAGTACTTACATAACTGCTGTGAGGTTTTCAACAAATTATTATTCTGATAAATCGAAACAGAAAATAGTTTAAAACAATTTACACAATAGTCAAAATAAAAAAAAACAGTTTGGAATTCTTGTTTTAAATAATAATGCCTCATTACCAAGCAATATTGATTTTTTCAGCGATATAACAGAGCTTTTATGAAAATGATAAATTCTATGCAAATATATTATTTTTTATAAGTGAGACATACAGAAACCAATGTCAATTATGAAATACCAAATGCTATATATTTGTGCAAAATTACATATAAATTATGTACATTTATATATAAATTATTTAATAATATATAATAATAAATTATGTGTACGTATACATAATTATATTTATTGAGGGATTATATATATGTATACATACAGCATTAAGCAGTCCCGTACAAAATTATGTATGAAGCCACGTAAAATTATAATCGTGTAACGAAACATACATTACTTTGCATATATCTATCTGATCCTATTTAACTAAATTAATATAAAGCTCTTTTATATAATGCAAATACCTAACAAAGATTCTAAGACTATTAAAAAGCGATTACGAATGTAATAGTGTCATTTTAATATTACGAACATGTAATATTAAAGTTTACTGTGGGAGGTATCGGGTGTGGGAATAAAATTCGTGTTAATATTGGAGTACTATATCGGTCTAAGTGTGGAAGGTTGATTCATCGTACCCGATTGCCGAAAGAAAATTTTGAACGTACGTTTGACACGCTGAACAATTTTATCTTCCCACAAACTTAATAAATTTACACACCCATAAATTTTAATATTACACGTTTGTAGTATTAAGATAACACTACTACATTCGTGTTAGCTTTTTATTATCTTTAGAAACCCTGGTCTTATTTAGTTGTATATAATTGTATATTAAACAGTTTTTACATAACGGGCAGATAAGTAATAAAAGTTTTAAGTATTATTTTGTCAAAAGTAAGTTATAATGTATATTTTTATGTTATTTAAACCTTGTAGTAAGTAAATCACATAAAAATATACCATGTTCAGTAAATTTAAATAAATTAAAGATTATGTGTAATTATTGGTATATTTCGTAACAAACTTTAAATAATTTTATGTAACTTCAAATAACAAATAACTTTTTGTAAAAGAAGCGTACGCTGATCTTTCAATTTCTGTAGATCCTTCAAAAACAAAGGTTAAGAAATTCATTTGAAAAATTGTACTAAAATTTCATCTGGGAGATTTTTAGCGATACGTTAAAAGCGAACATTGTATGTCGTAATTCCATCATTCGGTGATCACCCATTCTTTCTACTGACTACAGCATAATTTATTTAACTTAAACGAGCATATACAAAGTAGTGATGCCAATTAGCTCTGACTAGTTTGCGGAGGCACTTAGAACAAATACTTGAAAATATATTTGCAGGATATAAAATTTATTTCTGTGAAATAAAGTTTATTCCTATATACAAATGTGTTACACAATATACTTTATATCCGACAAATAAATATTGAAATGTAGTTTTTCTCAGTGTATCTAGTTGTAACATGATGCTCATAACCGTGTAATATGTTCAAAAAGCTATTTTATGCTATACTTAGCGCTAATCGTGGAAAATAATACGATATATAATGGATAATATTATGAAATCATATATATACTTCGTTTGAGCACAGTATGAACAATTTTTACCCAGATACGTTTTAGAACATAGCCGATAGCCAAATCAATGAAAGAATTACTTTTTCAGTCATTACGTAATGTTAAGTTTTATGATTTATTAGATTATAGGATATATCCAGGAATGTATTCAGAACGTATTGAAGCAAAGTTTACATATGCTATCTCTTTAAAGAAGGAGAGAAAAAGAGGAGAGTGAAACATAATATTTATATACTAACGAAAGTATACTATTAAAAAAACCTATATTTCATTGCCGATTATGATTACACTTGTATTTAGTTTACAATAAAACGTGAAAATTCGGAAGGCACTAATATTTCCAAGATTGTTTTTATGTTTTTATATATTTTGTCCATTTAAAAAGTAAAAATTATAACATATGCAACGACTTATACTGATTACAAGGTACAGCATAAAAGTATAACTTATATAAAATGTTTTACAATTATTCCTATCACATATCATTAGCAGAACACGCAGTCGATAAAGGAAGAATTTACGAGATAATTACATAAAACTCATTATAGAATGATAGTAGCTGCATGTAATACCTATAACCACGGATTAAAATGTGACAAATTGTAAAATTTTAAAACATTATGTATACGGTAATCATTCTGTTATTTCATATATAACATGGTATACGTATTTTGAAAGAATAAGAAATTAAATACTATTCACTTGTGCCTCAATATGTCCCTCTATAAGAAAACTATTATCTATTCCTGAATTCTATTAAAAATATAGTGTCATCAAATCTACATTAAAATGAAATTATGATCAAATAACACATTACTTTTAGCCATGGACAGGGTCGGTCATGTGATTTGAATTCATGAATACATTATAAAATGTGCATTTCGGTAAAAAAATCCTCCAGTTATATAGTTTCTATATGGTGTACAACTGCGGAATTTATTTTTTCTGTACAATCGTCTTCTGCTTATACCCGTTTCTTCTTGTATTTTATCTACATTCTCTTCTACTGTACTTTTCGAATCTGCGGTTAAAAGTAACGGACAATTTTGCGCTACTATTGCTTTTATAGATTTAAACCATGTTCTTACGAAAATAGTTTCTGTTTCAAGTAGCACAATCACATTTGGTTTTTCAAATGACTGTAAGTGTACATAATCGTAGTACGGCTCTGCTACATATTTAACATAAATTTTCTGTCCATAGCGTCTGCACGTAGAGCACACAGACCCTAGATATTTGGATTCGAATATTGGCGATTTTATAAATACAATATGTAGTTCCTTTACTCTTCGAAAGATATGTAAGAAAATATGCCAAAATTGCGAAGATATAACATCTATTATATCTGCATCTACAAGATGAACGATATATTTAGGCGTGATGCTAGAGACAGATAATAAGTTTGATTCCCGTAACGCGTAGTACAATGTCAGCGGACCAGATACATAATCAGAAAATATGTAAGGTTTTAATTTCCAATGGCGTGTTGAATTAGAAACGTAATTAGGAAGAGTACATAAATTATTGCCTAATACATAATTATTAATAAATGTAACAATGTCATCATAAGGTCTCACACCAGGAAATCTGACGAACTTGTATTCAGACACAATCCCTTTCACTGAACCGTTAATATAGATGATATTCATGTTCAGTAATAGCAACAGCTTGGCGCAACAATCCGTATGTTTTAGGTTAAAAGGTATTTCATGATCATCACAAAAATTGGCTGAATAGCAAATTTGGCACGGCTTGACGTTTATTTGTTTGTAACAAACATAACATGATTTCGGGAATATTAACATTTCTGTTTCATACCGGTATGTTTCGCGTGATAGAACAGCCAGTATTTTTACTGTAATGTCTTGTCGTGATTCCATCCATTCTTCGGAGTTACGGTATGTGTCCCAATATGATATGTCCGTTATTACCAATGTTATAGCATTGCACATCTCCAAGTGTGAATATTTATGTACCTCCTGGTGCTCCTTAGAACAGTAAGAAATCATATTGCACTGATTACATGTTATTAAGTCTCTGCTGGGCCGTTTGCAAACATGACAAATGTTTGGATTGAAAAACTGATTATATTTTTCTTCTGTGTATGGTCCATAAAATCTATATAACACTTTTGGATACTCGAATGAATTCATCGCAAAACTTCTTAATTATAATTTATGAATATCTTGTTTATAATATTTACTTCAAAATGATGCGCGAAACTCGACAACTTACACAGAGTATAACAGAAATATTTATACGAATTATATATAGATGTTTAACCAGTAATAGTTCACGGGACACTAATAACGAATACAAATATGTTTGTACCGAAAAAGTTGTTGACAAAATAAATTGTAACTACCAATATGAGGAACTAGAAATATTCATCAGTGTGCAATTATAATATGATACATTCCTTATGAAAATCTAAGTTTGAACAAAATTTTATGCATTTTGCTAATGAACTATAAAAAATACTTTAAATGAATTAAACCGTTAAGAGGACTTTTTTATATGTAGTGATCAGCTTTCCTCGTTCAAACAACGGTAAGTGTTACTTAATTTTGATGGACAAGCGGCAGTAATTATTCTATTATCTCTTATATAATAAATTTTACGTATTCTGAAAAAATAAGAAATAAAATACTACTGATTTGTGTCTGAATGCATCCCTCAGTAAGAAAATTATATTTATTCCTGAATTTTATTAAGAAATGAGTGCCATCACATCTGTACTGAAATAAAATTACGATAAAACAATACATTATTTTCTGCTCTTGAATGGGTGGGTCGTGTGATTTAAATTCATTAATACATAATAAAATGCACATTTCGGTAATAAAATCTTCCAGTTACATAATTTCTATATGGCACACAACCGTGGAATTTGTTTTGTCTGTATATTCGCTTCCTGGTTATATCTATTATTTCTTCTATCTTATTTACATTCTTTTGTGGTATATTTTCCGATTCGGCGGTTAAAAGCAACGGACACTCTTATTGCTGTTACAGATTCAAACTATGTTCCTACAAATGAAGTTTATGTTTCAAGTATAATCACATTTGGTCGCTCTTATGAATCTGAGCGTACATAATTGTTGCATGGCTCTGATACATATTTAACATAAAATTTCTGGTTGTAATTATTGCACATAGAACACACAAACCCTAGATCTTTGGATTCGAATATTGGCGTTTTGATAAATACAATATACAGCTCCTTAATTTCTTTAAAAATATGTAAGAAAATATGCCAAATTTGGAAATACATTTTATCTATTCTAATTGCATCTATAACAGGAACGATGTATTTACGTACAGTGCGTGGAAGTGATAATAAATTTGATTCCTGCAATGCGTAGTATAATGTCATCGGACCGGATACATATGCAGAACATTTATAATGTTCACATGTCCAGTGCTGAGTTGAATAAGGAAATTTTAATATTATACGAATATATGTATCTTTTGTGGATATATAATAATTAAGAAATGTATTAATGTCATGATAAAGTTTCTCATCAGGAAATGATGAATGAACTTTTGTCCATATCGACACTCGACTGTCTCTTTCATACAGCCGTTAATATAGGCGATATTCGTGTTCAGTAACAGCATCAACTCATCGCAATATTTTTTATGAAATAGATTAAATAATATTTTGTGATCATCACAAAAATTTGCTGAATAGCAAGTGCTGTAAAGTCTTATGTTTGCCTGTCGGAAACACAAATAACACGATTTTGCGCATAGTATCATCTCCGTTTCATACAGGTATGTGCAGCGTGATAAAGTAGTTAGTATTTTTTGTAAAATTTCTTTCCGTGATTCTATCCATTCTCCCGGGTTACGGTATGTGACCTAAAACGATTTGTCCGTTACTGCAGTTGCTATAACATTGCAGATTTCCAAATGTGAACATTAATATCTCTCCTGGTGCTCCATGGATCATTAAGAAATCATTTGGCACTGATTACAAGTTATGAAGCATCTGCTGGGCCGTTTACAAACATGACAAACATTTCGATTGATAAACTGTTTATAATTGTCTTCTATATATGGCTCCACGAAATCTACTAATTTCTTTAAATTCATCGCAATGCGTCTTAGTAACTATCATTTCCGAGTATTTTGTTTGTAATATTTACTTCGAAATAATGCGCGAAGCTCGACAAGTCCCCAGAGTGTAACAGGAACGTTTATAGGAATTATATATAGATGTATAACGAGTAATAATAATACACGTGACAATAATAACGAATACAAATATGTTTATATCGAAAATGTTGTTGACAAGATGAATTGTAACTAACAATATGAAGGCCTATGAATATTCTTTGGTGTAAGGATGACAATATTTATTCCTTATGAAAATCTACTTTAAAAGACTAAAAATATATTACAAAATTTATGAAGAAAGATGCTTTAGTAAATTTGTGGTAATTTCTAGCAAAATTTTAAATATTTTGGTAATGTGCTATAGAGGTCACTTCAAGTAAACTAATCCGTCAAAGAAATGTTTTTGATCTGTAGTGATCAGCTGTCCATGTTATGTCAACGGTATGAGTTCCTTAACTTTGAAGATCGAGAGACACACGGAGATCTTAACGGCTATAACGATGTTATCAGGACTTATATAACGTATCGTTAAGTATTCACGGAGCATTATATTATACTTACTCACAAATATTGAAATGATGGAGCAACATTACGTATGCGACAAATATTAGTATAATGTGTATTAGTGTGCAAGTACTTACATAACTGCTGCGAAGTTTTCAACAAATTATTATTCTGATAAAACAGAAAATGGTTTAAAACAATTTACACAATAGTCAAAATTTAAAAAAATTGTTTGGAATTCTTGTTTTAAATAATAATGCTTCATTACCAAGCAATATTGATTTTTTTCAGCGATATAACAGAACTTTTAAGAAAACAATAAATTCTATGCAAATATATTATTTTTTATAAGCGAGACACAGAAACCAATGTGAATTATGAAATACCAAATACTATATAGTTGTACAAAATTGCATATAAATTATGTACATTTATATATAATTTATTTAATAATAAATAATAATAAATTATGTGTACGTCTACATAATTATATTTAATAAGGGATTATATATATTTATACATAAACAGCATTAAGCAGCCTCGTACAAAATTATGTATGAAGCCATGTAAAATTATATAATAGTGTATCGAAACCTACATTACTTTGCATATATCTATCTGATTCTATTTAACTAAATTGTTTATAAAGTTCCTTTATATAATGCAAATAACTAACAAAGATTCTAAGGTTATTAAAGAGCGAATACGAATGTAATAGTGTCATTTTAATATTACGAGCACGTAATATTAAAGTTTTTTGTGGGAGGTATCGTTTGTGGGAATAAAAATTCGTGTTAATACTGGGGTACAAAATCGGTCTAAGTGTGGAAGGTTGATTCGCCGCACCTGATTGCCGAAAGAAAATTTTGAACGTACGTCTGACACGCTGAACAATTTTATCTTCCCACCAATTTAATAAATTTAAACTCCCATAAATTTTAATATTACACGTTTGTAGTATTAAGATAACACTACTACATTCGTGTTCGCATTTTATTATCCTTAGAACCCTGGTCTTATTTAGTTGTATATAATTGTATATAAAACAGTTTTTACATAACGGGCAGATAAGTAATAAAACTTGTAATAATATTTTGTCAAAAGTAAGTTATAATGTATATTTTTATGTTATTTAAACATTGTAGTAAGTAAATCACCTAAAAATATACCATGTTCAGTAAATTTAAATAAATTAAAGATTATGTGTGTAATTTTTGGTATATTTCATAATAAACTTTAAATTATTTTATGTAACTTCAAAAAAGTGTAAATAATTTTTCGTAAAAGGAGCGTACGCTGATCTTCCAGTTCCCGCAGGTTCTTCAAATACAGAGGTTAAGTGGTTCATGTGAAAAATTGTGCTAAAATTTCATCTTGGAGATTTTTAGCGATACGTTAAAAGCGAACATTGTACGTCGTAATACCATCATTCGGTGATCACCCATTCTTTCCACTAACTACCCTTATAGAAATATCATACTAAGAATCATTGATAATTACTTATTTTCAGTATTAAAAATATTTGATAATAAATAATTATCAATGATTCTTAGTATGATATTTCTATAAGGGTACAGCATAACTTATTTAATTCAAACAAACATAAACAAAGAAGTAATGCCAATTAGCTCTAACTAGTTTGCGGAGGCACTTAAAACAAATATTTGAAAATATATTTGCATGATATAAAATTTATTTCTGTAAAATAAAGTTTATTCCTATACCCAAACGTGTTACACAATATACTTTATATCCCAAAAATAAACATTGAAATATACTTTTTCTCAGTGTTTCTAGTTGTAATACAATGCTCATAACCATATAATATGTTCAAAAAGCTATTTTATGCTATACTTACCGCTAATCGTGGAAAATAATGCGATATATAACGGATGATATTATGCAATCATATATATACTTCGTTTGAGCACAGTATAAACAATTTTTACCCAGATACGTTTTAGAACATAGCCGATAGCCAAACAATGAAAGAATTACTTTTTCAGCGATAACATAAAATTAACCTGTATGATTTAATAGATTATAGGATATATGCAGAAATGTATCAAGAAAGTGCTCAGAACATATTAAGGCAAAATTTATACATGCTATCTCTTTACAAAAGCAGGAGAGTGAAACATAATATTTATTTACTAACGAATGTATACTATTAAAAAAAACTATATTTCATTGGCGATTATGATTACACTTGTATTTAGTTTACAATAAAACGTGAAAATTCGGAAGGCACTAATATTTCCAAGATTGTTTTTAAGTTTTTAATATATTTTGTCCATTTAAAAAGTAAAAATTAGAACAGATGCGACTTATACTGATTACAAGGTACAGCATAAAAGTATAACTTATATAAAATGTTTTACAATTATTCCTATCACATATCATTAGCAAAACACGCAGTCGATAAAGGAAGAATTTACGAGATAATTACATAAAACTCATTATGGAATGATAGTAGCTGCATGTAATACCTATAACCACGGATTAAAATGTGACAAATTGTAAAATTTTAAAACATTATGTATACGGTAATCATTCTATTATTTCATATATAACATGGTATACGTATTTTGAAAGAATAAGAAATTAAATACTATTCACTTGTGCCTCAATATGTCCCTCTATAAGAAAACTATTATCTATTCCTGAATTCTATTAAAAATATAGTGTCATCAAATCTACATTAAAATGAAATTATGATCAAATAACACATTACTTTTAGCCATGGACAGGGTCGGTCACGTGATTTGAATTCATGAATACATTATAAAATGTGCATTTCGGTAAAAAAATCCTCCAGTTATATAGTTTCTATATGGTGTACAACTGCGAAATTTATTTTTTCTGTACAATCCTCTTCTGCTTATACCTGTTTGTTCTTGTATTTTATCTACATTCTCTTCTACTGTACTTTTCGAATCTGCGGTTAAAAGTAACGGACAATTTTGCGCTACTACTGCTTTTATAGATTTAAACCATGTTCTTACGAAAACAGTTTCTGTTTCAAGTAGTACAATCACATTTGGTTGCTCAAAAGACTCTAAGTGTACGTAATCGTTGTACGGCTCTGGTACATATGTAACATGAAGTTTCTGTCCTTCACGTCTGCACGTAGAGCACACAGACCCTACATATTTGCATTTGAGTATTGGCGGTTTTATAAATACAATACTTAGTTCTTTTATGTTTTTAAAGAAATGTAAGAAAATATGCCAAAATTGCGAAGATATAACATCTATTATGTCTGCATCTATAAGATGAACGATATATTTAGATGGATTGCTTGGGAGAGATAAATTTGATTCCTGTAACGCGTAGTATAACGTCATCGGACCGGATACAAAATCAGAACATA